GCGGCCGCCGCGGCAGCGGCTGCGCAAGCCGCGGCCAGGGCCGCCGCCGCCGCCGCCGCAATACTCGCCGCGCTGACTGTGCGAGAGGGGCAGCCTCTGCTTGCAGGGGTTCCGGTGCAGCCCGCCGACCCTGTGCAGCAGCGGCCCTCTGATTCCAGTGAGCTCTGGAGGCAGCCCAGCTCTGTGCTGCAGGTGGGGAGGCAGAGCTAGCACTGGGGGGGGCGCCGATCTGCGTTGTGTTTGTGGCCGCCACCTAGTGGGTGCGGGTGGGTGGGCTGTGGGAGCATGCCAGCGGGGCTGGCCACCGACCGTGAGCCCTCCTTGCGACCTGGGCAACAGGTGCCTGCTCGCCTCCCCGCGGCGTGCTGCTGTTCATCCAGCCGCAGAGCAAGGCCGCGGCAGGCAGGGATCCCCCGTCGGGCGCTGCGCCTGGCGAGCGGCGGCAGACCCACTCGCGCCGCTCCGTGCAGCGGCAGCTTGCAGAGGAGGAGGAGGAGGAGGCTGAGCCGCCTCCTGAAGAAAAGCAGGCGCAGCAGGAGGATGAAGAGAGGGAGGAGGAGGAGGAGCGCTGGCAGCCGTGCCAGCCGCGGCAGTCCCAGCGGAAGCACAAGGGCCGCCCGCATGCACAGCAGCGGCATCGGTCCGGGGCAGCTGCCGCGCCACCCGCTGACCAGTCGGCAGCAGCAGGCCAGGCGGAAGCGGCAGGCGGAGCGGCGGCACTGGCACAGTCAGTCGGGCAGCGCGAGTCAGCCATGGTGAGCACCTGCACCCTGCAAACATGCAAAGCTCAATTCGGGGCTTGGGCAGCTATGCGGCTGCAGGCTGCACTTCGATGGCACTCTGAAGGCGCCAGTTCAGTGCAAGGCTGCCCCCAGCGCCCCACAGCCGGCGGCCCTAACTGTATCTGCGCTAGTGCCTGTCGCTCTCCTGTGCAGGCCCTGAGGCGGCGGTAAGGCCCACTGTGGTGGAAGGGACGGGGACAGGGCCAGGTGGCGGCAGCCCGCATCACTGGAAAGTCCGAGCTGGAAAGCGCGAGCGAGCCGCTGAGGGCGATGCTGGCGGGGGAGGCAGGCCTGGGCTGGGGCGTCAACACGCAGCTGGCTGCTGTGGTGAGTGGTGGCTGCCGTGCCGCTGCCCTTGCTGCCCCTGCTCCGGCTGCGAAATCTCCGTGCAACTGGACAGACCATGCAGGACAAGCCAGGCACCGTGCGTGACGCCTGCAGGCTCAACCCTGCCCTGCCGCCTCCTTGTCTCCGCCCGCTGCGTGCAGCCGGAGTTTGTGAAGGGACGCGTGCTGCTCGCGGCGCTTGCGGCGCACGCGGCTGGCGGCGGCGGGCGGTACGAGGATGCCCTGCCCTCCAGGGTTCTGGCCCTGTACTTTCAGCAGCCGCCAGCAGGCTCCAGCCAGGCTGCGCAGCAGCGCGCCATCTGCCCCGTCTGGGCGCTCACCATCCCTGCCCTAGCCAACGGGTCCCGCCCGTGGCACGAGTGTGCAGCGCTCACGCTGCTGCACTGGTGAGGGCTGGGCTGGTGCGGGGCGCAGCCAGGCAGCCTCAGCCTCGTGCCTCGTACGCGTGCGCAACAGCTCACAGCCTGGCTGGAGCGGCTTGCAATACCACGCTGCTTCAGCTACCGCCGCAGCCCCACACGCCTCTCAACTGGCAGCATGACCATGCTTACCCCTGCCCTCCTCCTGCTGCAGCCAGCCTCTGGATGACATAGCTGCGGGCTTTGCGCCGCTGCGTGCGCGGCACCCGGGGGCCTTTGGCGGCACAAGCGGCGCCGAACGGCAGGCCAGCAAGCAGCGAATGGTGGCTGCTCTGGGCGACCCCACCTGCCGGCTGCGGTGGGCCAGCAGTACCAGGGACCCGGCAGTACCTCTAGAGGAGCAGATGGAAAGGCTGGTGTGGACCCCCATCGACCTGCCGGCCTGAGCGGCGAGCCTAGCCGCGGCGCCGGGGAGGCTGCGGGCAGCAGTGGGGCTAGGGCGCTGCCGGGCCTCGCCTCAGGCTGGATCTATTACTTCGATGTCTGTGCACATGTGCTGACGTGGACAAGCATGCCACAACCCCGCATGCATTGCCTTGCACTTTGTCTGATACCACGCACCGAGAGGCAGAGCGGCGGCAAGGTGGCGGCGCTGAGGTGGCGGGCGGTGGGGGCCTGATAGGAAGGCTGCCCCTCCCTCCCTCCCGCGGCCAATCCGATCCTCTCGCCCTCTGCAACCGCCACATCGTTTGCGGACGCTGGTTGCCCACACAGAGCACGATGGAGGGTGGGTCTGCTCGTCGGTGCAGGTCGCCCCTGCGCGCAGAGCAGCCGATCAGCAGCGGCGATCATTGCGCTCACCATCTCGCATGGGCGCGGCTCCCGTCTTGCCGCTGCGCGCCACCGCCGCCGCCTGCCGTCTTGCCTCTGCCGCCCCTGGGTCCCGCTCCCCGTTCCCACACTGACTCTCCTGCTCGCTCGCCCTTACAGGCCTGTCGGCCCGCCTGGATGCCGTGCTGCTGCGCCTGGCGGCCCTGGAGCTGGCAGCGGGGGTGACCCCTGCCGATGCGCTGGCCGCCCGCCAGCTCGCCCTCCTCGACCGTCTCTCCCAGCTGGAGGCCGCCTGCGGGGTGACCCCTCCCGCCGCCTCCACCATCGCGCCCGCGCCAGCCACCCCACCCACGCCCTCCGCCGCGACGCAGGCGCCGCAGCCGCGGCAGCCGCTCCCGCAAGCGGGGGCGCTGCCCGAGGTGCGCGCCGTGGACCGGCGCGGCAGCGGGGTGCAGCAGCGGCTGCAGGCGGAGCTTCTGGAGCGAGGCCTCGCCCGCCACAAGTTCGTGCGGGCGCCCCCCGAGTACTACGACCGCCCCCTGGAGTTCAGGTGTGGTGTGGATGTGTGTGTGTGTGTGTGGGTGGGTGGGTGTGGGTGTGTCTTGTTGTGTGTGTGCATGTGTGTGTGTGTGAGAGCGAGGGAGAGGGAGAGAGAGAGAGAGAGAGAGAGAGAGAGAGAGAGAGAGAGAGAGAGAGAGAGAGAGAGAGAGAGAGAGAGAGAGAGAGAGAGAGAGAGAGAGAGAGAGAGAGAGAGAGAGAGAGAGAGAGAGAGAGAGAGAGAGAGGGAGGGAGGGGGAGTAGGCGGTGGGCGGTTCTGCCTTGCAGCCAGCCTGACGGCGCCGGCGCTTGGCGGCCTGTGCAGGCGGGGCGTGGTGGGGGCCGCCAGCGTGCACCACCTGTGCAAGAGCATCGTGATGGAGAACACGCGGGCGCACCCCTCGGGCGGGCGGCTGCCGGGCGCTGGGGGGGCGGCGGTGCGGCGCCGTGCGCGAGGGGCTCCGAGCAGGGAGGAAGACGCCGGGCTGGTGGCTGCGAGTTGCCGATGTGCTCGCGCCGGCACTGTCCCACCCATCCATCCATCCATCCATCCACCCATCCACCCATCCATCCACCCATCCATCCATGTTTACCGCATACCGGCGTGCGCTGCCGCGCCTCCCTGCCCTATGCAGTGACCGACTGCTCCGACCCCAACAACTCCAAGTACTACCTGGTGGTGATACAGGTACTGCCGGACTGCTGTACCGTGGCGGTGCAGTCACACTGCAGTTACTGCAGTGCCGCTCATGTGGCACCTATGGCATCATCTGTCCACCCCACCTCCCTCGAGACACACACACACACACTCTGACACACGCACACACACATATGCAGTACACAGCCCGGCTGAATGCGGAGAAGCTGAAGCACCACATCTACAAGCTCAGCGGCGGCCGGGTGGCCAAGAAGTGGTACAACATGCGGCTGGCACCCGAGGCGGCATCGGGTGGGGTGCCGCCTGGGCGGCGGCATGCTGTTGGCTGTTTTTGACAGCAGGGCGGTCCACTGCTGTCCCAAGCAAGGTTCTGCGACTGCCGCTGACCCCTCCTGCGAGCTGGTGGTGATGCAGATGAGCTAACCGGCTTCGAGCACAACGGCGTGTCGCCCATCGCCATACGCACCCGCATGCCCATCATCATGTCGCACAGGCAAGCGGCGGGTGCACCGGAGGGGTCTGAGCAAGTGGCGGGTGCACCGGAGGGGTCTGGTTTGGGGAGGGGAGCCGGCGGGTGGTGGTGGCTGCGCGGCAGCCAGCATGTCAATGCCACACACCCCGCCCGTGCGCTCAATAATCCTCTCTCCTGCTTCTGCGGTGCTGGCGGCGCAGGATTGCGGAGCTGCGGCCCGACACTTTCTTCCTGGGGGCAGGGGAGGTGGACCTCAAGGTGAGCACCTAGCCTCTGAGGCCGAGCTGGCAGCCAGGCTGAGCTGCCGGGCTGCGGCGGCATCGCCGTGCTGCATGTCGAGCAAAATGCGGCGGCGGCTGCTGGCATGCAGGTGGGGTTCAGCGCGGCGGACTTTGTTGCGTCATACCAGGTGGGCAAGGGGGGGCAGAGGAGGGAGTGCTGGGGCTGGCTGGGACGTGAACAGGCACATGCAGGTCTTCACCCCCGCAGGCTCTCTGCAGTCCACCTCCTTTTGAACCCTCCGTTCCTCCCCCTGCCACGCAGCCCATGGTTGTGGACTGCACCTACAATGAGGGTGATGATTGAGGTCCCCAGGATGCGACCCCTGCAGCAAGGCGCGGCTGGCCAGGCGGCCGTCGGCAGGCCGGTGGGCGGCGGCGACGGCGCACAGCGGGGCATGCGCGGGCGGGGCCCGTCCTGAGCTTGCGGTGCTGTCAATCCATCCATGACGTGTGTGTGCATAACGCTGCCCATTGCAAGTGATCCAAGCGTGTGCCCAGCGACCGGTTGACGTCAGCCTAGCCAGGTGGCAGGAGTTTGGTCAGCGGCGCAGGGCAGGCCCTTGGCAATGATCAGGGCCTCGCTTATCCCCTGCCGCCGTCTCTACACCACAATGACGGTCAGCAGCGACTTCTACGAGGCGGTGCGCGATGGAGGGTCGGCGTACAAGTTCTACCTCGATGGGGAGTGGAAGACGTCCACCAGCGGCAAACACGTCAAGATTATCAATCCCTCCACCAATGCTCCCTGCTTCAGCGTGCAGGGTAGGTTCTCCCTTGCCTCGAGCACGTGGGCAGTCAAACTGGCCTGCCCTATCCCTCGCAGCGCCTCTCCAACGCTCCCGCAGAATTGCGGGGCTTTGATGACAGGAGCAGGGCAGCAAACACTGCCTGCCCGCGACACTTGCATGCTGACTGCCGCCGCCGCCACCTACTGCGCCCACACTCCCATTTTTGCCTCACTGCGTTGCAGCCTGCACGCAGCAGGAGGTGGACGCAGTCTTCCAGTCCGCCAAGAAGGCCCAGAAGGTGCGGCGTCGGGGCTGCTGGAGACACCTGCCTCCCCTGCCTGTCGCAGCAGGCAGCCGGTCGGTTGGGGCCAGCATGAGGGGCCGCCCGGCCCTTCTGCTGGTCGTCCAGGGCGTGCCCTGTCAACCAACTCGCAGCTGTGCGACAGGTGGTGGTGGAGGGCAGACGCGATGCGTGGGCCTATCACGGATGGGGGGTCAGGAGGTGCAGCTCCATCTTTTCCGCAGGCTCACCCTGCCCGCCCGCGTCTGCCCGGCGCGCAGGCCTGGGCCCGCACCCCGCTGTGGCGCCGCGCCGAGTTCCTGCACCGCGTGGCGGCGGTGATGCGGGAGAATGCGCAGCCCATCGCCGATGTGCTGGTACAGGAGGTGGCCAAGCCCGCGGTGGATGCCTACACGGGTGGGCGCGGGTTGGGGTTGGCAGGGACTTCGCCTGCGGGGAGAGGCTGGGGTGGGCAGGATAGGGCACTGTAGGGAGCACTCCCTATGGCGTGCTTCCTGGCGCGCTTGAACTGCCGGGTTGGCGGGCCTGGCGGGCGGCACCGGAGGGCACATCTTGATCACAGCACCTTCAGCCCGACCCCGCCGCCGCCTGCCGCGTGGCGCCCTCCGCCGCCGCCCCCACGCAGAGGTCATCCGCAGCGCCGACCTCATCTCATACACTGCAGAGGAGGGGGTGCGCTTCTTTGGGGAGGTGAGGGGGCACCGCCGGGGGGGTGGCTGCATGCGCTGGGCATGCTGCGCTGCGGGGTCCCTCCTGCCCGCCTCCTGCATGTGCCAAAAACATGGAGCCGGGCTGCTGCTGCTCGCTGGGGGTCTGCCGGGTGCCGATGACCCACTGGGGGCGCTTGTGGTGGAAGGGGGTGAAGCCCGGAGCAGCCGAAACCGAAGCACGTGCCTCGCCGAGCTGCTCGCCGGCGGCGGCGGCCTGGCTGAGGCTGGGCAGCTGGCTGGAGGGGCCGCCCGCGAGCTCTTCCTGCTGCTGCCCAAGCTTTCGCCGCGGCTGGAGGCCCACCATCCACCATCACACCGTCGGTCCCCTCGTCTCTATGTGGCACCACACATCATTGTCTGTGTGCCACCACGCAGGGCAAGATGCTCACCAGTGACTCCTTCCCCGGCCAGGACCGCACCAAGCTGTGCCTGGTGTCAAAGGTGTGGCAAGCCCTGCGCAGCGGTACCAGGGGGCAGGGAGTGGGGGGCCGCTGCGGTGGCGCAGGGTGGACCAGGGCCCCCGCTTTGCCCTGGCATGGCACCATCTCGCCGCCTGCATCTGCACGCATCTGACTGCACGCATCTGACTGCCTGTGCCTGCCTGTTTTGAGCGCCTGCAGGTGCCGCTGGGCGTGGTGCTGGCCATCCCGCCCTTCAACTATCCGGTCAACCTGGCAGTGAGGTGGGGCTGGCAAGTGGGTGTAGGGTGGTGGTGACCGTGGGTGGCAGGGCATTCGGCGGCAGCAGGGGCTGGCTGGCAGGCAGTTGGCAGCAGCCGCCCGTCTGTGCCCATTCACCAGCCGTCCCCGGGCTGCCGCACCAGCCACGTCACCCTCTTGCCGTCCCGATTGTCTCTCCCATGTGTCGTGACCTTTGTCGTGACCTTTGCCCCGCTTCACCAATCTCTCTCCCCCTCTCCCTCCCTCCTCCCTCCCCCTCTCCCCCATGCAGCAAGATCGCCCCGGCGCTGATGGCGGGCAACAGCGTGGTGCTCAAGCCGCCGACCCAGGGCTCGGTGGCGGGCCTGCTCATGGTGCAGTGCTTTGCCGCAGCGGGCCTGCTCCCCGGCCTGCTCAACTGCGTCACAGGTGAGAGAGCGCGGCGCCGCGGGGTCGGCACCGCCTTGCCGCATGTCGGCGCGTGTGGGATGCCAGCCACCTGCTGCTGCTGCGCCGCTGCCACCCAGCCCCCACGTGCACCGCCACCCGGCCCCTCGCTGCCGTACACCCGCCCCTTCTGCCCCCACCCCCAAACAGCCCCGCTCCCTGCCTGTCTCCTGCCCCTCCTGGGACGCCCCAGGCCGTGGCAGCGAGATTGGCGACTACCTGACCACCCACCCGCTGGCCGCCGCCATCTCCTTTACTGGCGGCGACACGGGGCTGGACATCTGCCGCAAGGCGGGCATGGTGCCCATCCAGGTGTGGGCTGCTGTGTGTGTGTGTGTGTGTGTGTGTGTGTGTGTGTGTGTGCTGCGCTGGCTTTGGGTGGTGCGGTTGGGTGTGGGCTTGGTTGTGTAGGTGGCTGGGCAGCTGGGCGCCGATCCAGGTGGGCGCCTGGGTGTGTGTGGGCTGGGGCTGGGTGTGTAGCTGGCTGGCTGGCTGGCTGGCTGGCTGGCTGGCTGTCCTGTCTCCAGCCCCCGGCCTGATGCCAGCACAGGCCCCAAACGAGCTGGCTGCTGCACCTCGCTTTGCAAGCCGCACGCTGCGCCCCCAAGCCTCGTCCAACGCGCCGCCCGCCCCGTCCCGCGCCACCCCTGCCCCTGCCTCCGCAGATGGAGCTGGGCGGCAAGGACGCCGCCATTGTGTGCCAGGATGCTGACGTGGAGGCCGCCGCCCGGCACATCGCCAAGGGCGCCTTCAGCTACAGCGGGCAGCGGTGCACGGGTGGGTGGGGCTGGGTGGGCGCAACACGTGGATGGGTTGGGGCTGGGTGCCTGCCGCTGCGCGTCTGCGCGGCCGCCGCCCCAGGCATCGGCCCGCGCTGAGCCCACTCCTGGCATCGCCTGCCGCAGCACGCCGCTGCGCTGTGCGTCCGTCTCACGCCTGCCGCTGCAAGCGCCTCTCCCGCTTCAATCCCACCAACCCCCCTGCTGTCCCTGCTCTCCCCGCCTTGCCTCCCCCGCCCCTGCAGCGGTCAAGGTGGTGCTGGTGCACGAGGCCGTGGCCGACGAGCTGGTGCCTCGCGTGCTGGCCGCGGTCAAGAAGATGAGCGTGGGCATGTGAGTGTGTGGGGGGAGCGGCTGCTGAGCTGGCGTGCTGGTGTGCGTGTGTTGGCGGAGCAGAAGGGTGTGTTGGTGGGCGTGGCGGCGGTGGGGGTGGTTCGGTTGTAGGTGTGAAGCTCGCCAAGCGCCGGTCCCCACCCTCCCAAGGCACCTGCATGCGTTACTGCTGTCCTTTTTTCTGTCTTTCCACCTTCCTGCTTTCCTCCCGCAGGCCCCAGGACAACGCCCATATCACGCCCGTCATTTCCGAGGCGTCGGCAAACTTCATCGAGGGACTGGTGAGCCTATTTCTTAGGAGAACAACGTTTATTTCCCTGAAGAAAACGTTTTTTTCCCTGACAAAGAGACTCATGGCCCCGCCCCGCCCATATCCCTCATGGGTGGTGGT